ATTTGTCAGGGGACAATTCGGACCCCTCAGCATAGATCATATACAGGTAAACGAGAAATAGTTATAACAATTATTGCTGTTTGTTGAAATTTTTGCCTTTCGAAACATTTATAAACATTTTCTATACCTTCGAATAAACTTACCTTTACATATAGGAAACTGGGCACGGTAGTAAAAGTCATCATAACAGCTAACTATACTGAATCTGCGATAGGGTACAAAAAGGGTGAGACGAAATATGTTTGTTTGAACAAATAGTGTTAACCGTATACACAGAGATCGCTTTTTCCTTATTTTGATGTAAGTTAAGTATTAGTGGGTGATTACAAGGCCCAAACGAAAACCTCACAAATTTGGGCCCAAGTTTCATCGAGCTAAATGGCACGGGAAGGGGTTAACTTATAATTATTAATCGTAGTAAGTTACAGTAATCGCAAAAAAATCGAAAATGAGAATTTTTACATATCTTTATGTTTCAAAGGTTTCAGAACATTATAGCATACCTTGAAAAAAAATGTGTGTGCGGACGCAAATTTTCGTCGGCGATTTTGGGAACAGGGATTAACCGATTTGAATAATTCAAAAAACATTTGATTCCTATTAATGAGAAAATGTGCAGATTAGTTTTTGGCAAAGGCAGGTTCAGCAGTTTTGAAGATAGAGGTCAAAAATATTTATTTGGTTTTTAAGAAAACGGAGTGTCCGATTTGAATGATTCAAAGAACATTTTACTTGTATGGACCGAATACATAATTGACTAAATTTTTGGTAAGGCAGGTTAAGCGGTTTAGGAGATTCAGAAAAAAGTAAAAAAAATGATATTTGGTGGTCAAAAATTATCATTGGACATATGCATATCAAATTTTTAGTTATTTCATAGATATTTTAATAATGTGTACAAATTTTGTGTCATTTTTTTGGGTTTAGTATCAAGATTTTTAATTTTAAAGTCCGCTTATATGGTTCAAACAAATGTACATGCCATATGCGAATGTGTGAAACAACCGATTTAAATGATTAAAAATTTGAATCCGCACACACACACATACACGCACACACACACATACACGCACACACACATACACACACACGCACACATACATCCATTTTTTCTAAGGTATGCCAAAATATTCAGAAACCTCTGAAACGTAAAGATATAGAAAAATTTTCATTTTCGATTTTTTTGCGATTACTATAACTTGCCCTACGGGAAGTTTAAAAAAAAATCGGTTTGTACTGACTGCGAGACATTATTGCGAAAGGCACGTCTAGCTCTTCTGGAAGCAAAGAGCGCAAAGGGTGTACAAATTGTCACGCAGTTTTTGAGAGAACGAATCATCCGATGTGAATAATTGGAAAAACTTTCTAAAAAAAACGAATATTTTCAAAAATTTCCAAATTCTCAAAAAAATAAAAAAAACGTTATTCATTTCAAAGATCTGGAATATTTGAAAAATTTCAAAACAAAACTGTAAAACAAAACATGTAAAAATTTCTTGTAGAAATACACGTAAGTTGTTTGTTGTAAGTTGTAGAATATGCTCATCACCCAATTTAATACGCACATATTTACAGTAAGTATTTATAATAAATAATCTATTTGAAATTATTTAAAACAATTATAATTAGTTATTAAGTAATTTTTCATTGATTATTATTCTCTCCATCGCTTTTAGGGATAGTGTTTCAGTATTTCCACGTAGAAAAATGTACAAATTACCATTTACCATCTTTCTTTGACGACTCAAATTATAAAAATAATTTCTACAACTTATTTTAACATTATTATATAATATTATGACTTTAATTTCAAAAAAACAAAAATGAATAATTTTTATTATATGATAAATCTTTTAGTATCAATCTATTATTTTCAGGGACCGTTCCTGGCATTGGTTACTGGATATATTATCAGCACCGTAATATTTCTTGGAGAAATATTAATTAATGTGGAGTATAAAAAAAAATTGGGGTTTATACAACGCTTCGATCTCAATTGTATTAGGAAATTTAGAACAAGTTTTCATTCGAGCAACAACATTGCTACACCGAACACAATAATTTTAAGGGAAAAGCATCAGTAGTGCAAAAGTGCAGTTAAATTACATCAAATATATCAATAATATAATTTATTGTTATCAACACTTAAAGAAACAGACATCAATATAGATTGCAACTATCATGAAAAAAATTTCATGTAGTTTGAAATTAATGAGCTCGTAAATGCAGCTAAGTGCTTTGATAAAGCTGCGGCCATTTTTCATTTATTGTGGTTAATTTTTATTATTTTTGTTCATTTAAAATTATTCATAATTGTTTGTTTTTGAAGGACTCTCTTCTAAAAAAATGTACTTGAGTTGGTTGACAAGTTCCATCAAAAGTTTGCGCATTTAATCAGGATTGTAAAAATATTAAAATACGTGAACGTTTCATAATAAAAAAAACTTGAGTAAATAGATTTTTGCAAGTGTATTTATTCACAATCAGTTCATCCACACATTTTGAGCTTATACGTACAACAGACATTTTAACTGATTGTGAGCGAAATGGACTAGCAAAAATCATGTTATTTGTTACTTTCCGTGAGTCATTGTAATCGTTCAAAAATCGAAAATGAAAATTTTGCATATCTTCACGTTTCAAAGGTTTCTGAAAATGGATGTGTGTATGGTGTTATGTGTGGATTAAAAAATCATTCAATTCCCATCAGTGGGATTTAGTGCTGATTAGTTTTTGGGAAAGGTCGGTCCAGCCATTTCCGAAATGCGAAGCAACAAAGAGTGCAGAAAATGAAAAGTAATTTTTTTGAGAGAACAGAACTTACGATATGAATGATTTAAAAAAAATATTTGTAATGACGAGAAGAGTTTCTGGCAAAGACAGGCCCAGGTTTTTCAGAGATAAGGAAGTAAAAGTGTAAAGAATAGCAGTCTTTTTGGGAGCAAAGCATCAGTTTCGAATGATTCAAAAAACATTTTGCTTGTGAAGAAACAATTAGTTTTTAGGAAATGCAAGTTTTTTATTTCAAAGTTTCAATTTTTTTAAATATCAAGAATGATTCGGATTTTAATTTCAATTCTAGCTAAAATGCTAAAGCTTACTTATAAAAATGAAATAAATAATTTAAAATTAGCAATTGACTTTATATAATTCTTAGAAATATGAAGATAGTTCCTTCTCTTTAACTCCACTTTATGAAGTTTTGTTTATTTAATTTTCATGTAAATATGTATAAACGTAGTAGTTTAATTTATTCCTCGAATATTTCTTTACGGTACGGAAAATTCCAGCAATTTGCATTATGGCACGATGCCATGCACCTACAGTTAGGTTTTTGATTCTTACTGCCATCAAAGTAGCCATTTAAATTATAGTAAATTCGTTCCACATACGCCTTTGTTGTCTATATTAGAGACAAACATCAGCAATTATATATATATATATATATATATATATATATATTTTATTATATATATATATATATAGATATATGTAATGTTAAATAATTTGATAGTCCTGCAGATTCGTATATGCTGAATCCATCGTACATATATTAAAAAGTTGATATAGTTTAATGTATTATGCGATTATATACACGAAACAGTCTGCGCGATCATAAAATGTATTATTTATACTGATGCTTTAAACAATAAAGATGTCAAAAATTATAAGACGCCAAGCGAAGGAAAACGAACACGATATGGGAACGACTGCAGTACAATACACTTAAATTTAATTTACTAGCGATTCAGATATTGAAATGATAAATCACAGCAGCGAAGCTATGGAATCGATCTACTTTGTTTATTTGGCAATAGTATAGACATTTGATATAAGAAAAGTAAAAATTTTCTGGTAGGCTCAACAATCTCTGCTCAATGGATATATACAGGGCCGGTCCTACCTTGAATGCGATGCATGCAAAAAATGCGGGCGCACGCCTTAGGGGGCGCCAAAACGAGATTCGGAAATGAAATTTTCAAAATAGTTTTTTTTTTTCAATTTAATTGAAGAAACATAATTTCTTTGCATTTTTTACTAATTTTTGAGCAATATTTAAGATGAAATTTTGGATAATTTAAATAATGAAAAATTAAAATAAAATAATCCAATATAAAGCACCAGCGTTACGTTTATTAATGAAAGGCTAGAATTTTTTTGCTTTCCATGATTTGTTCAATAAAATAAATCGCATAAAATCTCCAAAATAAATAAGTAAAGTTTTTCAAAAAATTTATTTCAAGCAATAATAAACATACTGAAATGTTTGGATGTCCTAAAAAGTTTGGATTAAAAATAAGAATTTAGAAGTAGTAAAAAAATAACGTAAATCTTCTTATAATTTTAATGATAAACTGTTGAAACAGTCAGAATAATAAAGAGGAAAAGGCGCTAGAAAAAAAATTGCATGCGGGCGCTGAGGACCCCAGGACCGGCTCTATATATATAAATATATTATCCTCAAAATTATATAAGATAATTAGATAATTATATAAGATAATAACGTAAACCTTCTTATAATTTTAATGATAAACTGTTGAAACAGTCAGAATAATAAAGGGGGGAAGGCGCTAGAAAAAAAATTGCATGCGGGCGCTGAGAACCCCAGGACCGGCCCTATATATATTATATATATATATATATAATATAATATATAGGCATTACATTTTTTTTGTGTATTATATTCTAATATTATCTAAGCTCACAATTTCAGCTAAATTCAAATTTCAAGTGATTTGACATTTCTAGCAAATGGCAGTTCAAATGATTTCAATGTCAATGATAAGTGATTTTTGCCGTTAATTTCTATAATATTACTATAGTTATATCGGTCATTAAATCATAATAATTTATTTTTACAAACTCGGAAAAGAATTATCAAAATTCGAATAGCAGTTTAAGAGAAGTCAGAAATCATACACCCGTACAGAAAATTTATATATATATATATATATATATATATATATATATATATATATAGCTGTAAGTGAAATCTGTACCTTTGTTCCACACATCGTTGAAGTGATATACTTTCTTGCTTTTCCGCGTGCAATATAAATACTGGTATACTTTCAGACACACTTTTTTCATTGCAAACATCATTATTTCTCACTAAATCGAGCATATCTAGTAAAAAAACTAGTAGCAAGCAGAAGTGTTTCGAATCCATTCTGAAAATATATACAAACAATTAGTTGAAAACATGTATATTGTGTATATTACTAGATGTATGCTAAAGGGAAATAAAACTAGCTGTAAGTGGAATTCTGTCTTAAGGCAATTAACACTTTCGACTCGGGAGTCGGACTGCCAGTCGGTATGCTGCGCTCGGAATATTATAGTGCTATACTTATCTCACAACTCGGAATTTTTTTTTTGTATCGGATTTTTTCAAAATGTGGTTATATTGCTTTTAAATATAGTTATTATGATAATAAAATAGAAAATTTTGAAAATTAAAAAAAAAATGCACTCTATATTGTTTAAAAAATCATTTCTTCACAGATCTTTATTAGAATTATGGGGATCATGAGCTAATAAATTAATTAACTTCCCGTAGGGCAAGTTATAGTAATCGCAAAAAAATCGAAAATGAAAATTTTTATATATCTTTACGTTTCAGAGGTTTCTGAACATTTTGGCATACCTTAGAAAAAATGGATGTATGTGTGTGTGTGTGTGTGTGTGTGTGTGTGTGTGTGTGTGTGTATGTATGTATGTATGTATGTGTGTGTATGTATGTGCGGATACAAATTTTCGTCGACGATTTCGGGAACACGGATCAACCGATTTGAATAATTCAAAAAACATTCGATCCGTATTGATAAGGAGACGTGCTGATTAGTTTTTGGCAAAGGCAGGTCAAGCCGTTCCGAAGATACGGGGCAAAAAGTTCCGAAAACGGTAACTCAGTTTTTAAGAGAACGGAGCGTCCGATTTTAATAATTCAAAAAACATTTTATTTGTATTGACAAGATGAAGAATCGATACAACTTTCATGAAGGTAGGTCCAGCGGTTTCGGAGATATAGAGGAAAAAGTAAAAAAATGAGCCATTTGGCGGTCAAAAATGATCATTAGACATATGCACATCAAATTATCAGACATTTTATAGAGATTTTAACAATAAGTATACATTTTGTTAACATTCCTATCGGTTCCGTACCAATGCTTATGCGTAAGACAGCGACGCGGCGCTTACGCGCTTTATATTTTGTCCCTATGTAGTTAAAGCAGTACGATTGCTTTGAAAAAAAAGTTCAGATCTTCCACAATATGTCAAAATAAAGAAAAAAAAATTTTTTTCAAAAAAAACAAATTTTTTAAAAAAAAAAATTTTTTAAAAAAAAATTTTTTTTTTCAAAATAAAACTAATTTTTTGTCCAATTTATAGTTTCTCAAAAATCTTATTTTTTCAAAGTAATTTTTTTTCAAAAATGTTAATCGTTTTAAAAAAAAAATAATAATTTTTGGTACGGGAAGTTCCAGCAATTTGCCTTAAGGCACGATGCCCTAATTGCCTTAAGACAGAATTCCACTTACAGCTAGTTTTGTTATATATTTAACTTCCCGTAGGGTAAGTTATAGTAATCGCAAAAAAATCGAAAATGAAAATTTTTATATATCTTTACGTTTCAGAGGTTTCTGAATATTTTGGCATACCTTAGAAAAAATGGATGTATGTGTGTGTGTGTGTGTGTGTGTGTGTGTGCGTGTGTGTATGTATGTGCGGATACAAATTTTCGTCGACAATTTCGGGAACACGGATCAACCGATTTGAATAATTCAAAAAACATTCGATTCGTATTGATAAGGAGACGTGCTGATTAGTTTTTGGCGAAGGCAGGTCTAGCCGTTCCGGAGATACGGGGCAAAAAGTGCCGAAAACGGTAACTCAGTTTTTAAGAGAACGGAGCGTCCGATTTTAATAATTCAAAAAACATTTTACTTGTATTGACAAGATGAAGAATTGATCAAATTTTCATAAAGGCAGGTCTAGCGGTTTCGGAGATATAACGAAAAAAGTAAAAAAAAATGCAATTTGGCGGTCAAAAATGATCATTAGACATATGCACATCAAATTTTCAGATATTTTATAGAGATTTTAACAATAAGTATAAATTTTGTTTATTTTCCTATGGGTTCCGTATCAATGTTTACCCGTTAGACAGCGACGCCGCGCTTACGCGCTTTATATTTCGTCTCTATGCAGTTAAAGCAGTACGATTGCTCTGAAAAACAAGTTCAGATCTTCCAAAATATGTCAAAATAAAGAAAACATTAAAAAAAAAAAAATTAAAAAAAAAATTTTTTTTAAAAATTTTTTTTTAAAAAAATTTTTTTTTCAAAAAAAAGTAATTTTTTGTCCAATTTATAGTTTCTCAAAAATCTTATTTTTTCGAAGTAAATTTTTTTCAATTTTTCAATTTTAATCGTTTTTAAAAAAAAATAATAATTTTTGGTACGGGAAGTTCCAGCAATTTGCCTTAAGGCACGATGCCCTAATTGCCTTAAGACAGAATTCCACTTACAGCTAGTTATTTATAAAATTAATAAATCAATCAATAAATGAATGTAATAGTAAATTAATTTTTAAAAAATAAAAAATAAATAAATGTAAGTTTAGTTTGCGACGAGTCGTCGCCGACACGATTTGCCGCCGGAGCGGCGGCATCCGAGCTTAACGGTAAAACATATCATGCCGCCGGAGCGGCGGCATCCGAGCGCAACAGTAAAATGACTATGCCGCCGGAGCGGCGGCATCCGAGTCGAAAGGGTTAAGGCATCGTGCCTTAAGGCAAATTGCTGGAACTTCCCGTACCAAAAATTATTATTTTTTAAAAAACGATTAGCATTTTTGAAAAAAAATTACTTCGAAAAAATAAGATTTTTGACAAACAATTAGACAAAAAATTACTTTTTTTTGAAAAAAAATTTTTTTTTAATTTTTTTTTTTTGGAAAAAAATGTTTTCTTTATTTTGACATATTTTGAAAAATCTAAACTTTTTTTCAAAGCAATCGTACTGCTTTAACTGCATAAAGACGAAATATCAAACCGCGTTAGCGCCGCGTCGACGTCTAACGCGTAAACATTGGTACGGAACCCATAGGAATGTAAACCAAAATTATACTTATTGTTAAAATCTCTATAAAATATCTGATAATTTGATGTGCATATGTCTAGTGATCATTTTTGACCGCCAAATGGCATTTTTTTTTACTTTTTTCATTAGATCTCCGAAACCGCTAGACCTGCCTCTATGAAAATTTGATCGGTTCTTCACCTTGTCAATACAAGTAAAATGTTTTTTGAATTATTAAAATCGGACACTCCGTTCTCTCAAAAACTGAGTTACCGTTTTCGGCACTTTTTGCCCCGTATCTTCGGAACGGCTAGACCTGACTTGGCCAAAAACTAATCAGCATGTCTCCTTATAAATACGAATCGAATGTTTTTTGAATTATTCAAATCGGTTGATCGGTGTTCCCGAAATCGTCGACGAAAATTTGTATCCGCACATACATACACAGACGCACATACACACACACACATACACACACTCACATACACACACATACATCCATTTTTTCTAAGGTATGCCAAAATATTCAGAAACCTTTGAAACGTCGAGAAATGCAAAAATTTTCATTTTCGATTTTTTGCGATTACTATAACTTGCCCTACGGGAAGTTAACAAGTAAAAAAAATAGTTATAGAATACTTGCATGCATGAAAATTATACATAAAATTTTAATTTCAATAATTTTGATGTTGAAATATGTGAGATTCAATTTTCAAGGCAATACATCAATTAAAAACTTGTATAAACTTATAACATTTTTATTATTTCCATACGTTTCGACACATTGTTTTGTGTCATCTTCAGTGGAATATAATTGTAATATTCTTAATAATCATTGTTCACAAATGCACTACTAAAACAGTTCTTTTCACTTAACCTCGGAATATATATATATATATATATATATATATATATATATATATATATATACAGTGGTGTTGTGCTAATATTTTTTTTGCCGGAACGCTAAAATTTAAAATCGGGTTCATAAACAGGTTCAAAAAATTTGATATATTTCGATAAGAATTCATAAATCTAATATATTGACTTTTTATATAATTAACTCTATTATATACAGCTAGTTTATACATTAAATTGTACAAGTATGAATATAATTTATATTCTTCAATAATATTAACTATATTTATTCTGGTATTATTTGTATTCATTAATACCTACAGGTGTTTATTATGATAGAAAAGTACTCAAGATGTATTACAATACTTTATAAGACTTAACCTATTAATATAATAGATAACTTATTACCTATCATACTATACTATATTATTGTATATCGTAGATAGATATCTATTATCTATCATACCGTGTGAGATACCTATACCGTCATTAGCTTATATACCTACATACCTTTTACTTCTTATAAATACTACGGTCTAATTTATATATTCACCTATATTTTACCTTACGCCCTATGTATTATCTCCACCTATCTATTGTCTATACCGGGAATTGAACCCGGGACTTCCGCGTGGCGGTCGCGCACCTTAACCACTACCCTATCGGGTACCCCCATTAATAATATAATATGGGACGCACTGTTGTTTCCGCGGGTCATTTTCTAATTAAATAGGTAATTAATACTAAGGTGGCGCGACGACACGCGAAAAAAGACGGTTGATTGTAGCGTTACGGTGGCGTAGTGGTTAACGTCGTCGCGTTCCACGCGGCGGGCCCGGGTTCGATTCTCGGTAGGGTTAATTAGCGTGTGAGGAAAATTATAGGTAATAGGATATATAGTAGATATAGGTTAGGTGTATTCGATATACAATGTAGGGATTTGAAAGTATATGATGAAATATAGCGTATGGTATAGATGTAAGGCGTGTATTATAGAATGCAACGTATAGGCATACGTAAGGCTATAAAAATACACGAATAGGAACCTATGATGTAGGTGTTAGCGTATAAGAAATGCGAATGAATATAAGATTTAATTTATAAATATTATTTCTATAAGAATTTTTATCTCGGTATTAAATATCTAAAATATCCAAAATATCTGTTAAGGCATCGATTACACCTTACTGCTGCCTTTGCCGTTATCACTTCATAGAAAATTAATTACT